CACACTAGCTAGAGGGCTCTTAGCGAAAGGGAGAAGCAGCTGGCTACCAGTATGCTGTTAGAGGTACGATTAATGTGGAGAATTTCATATTCCTCACAGCATAGCAAAGACTGATGGGAGCAAGAGGACCCGACAGCTCTGCACACAGGAGAAACCAGACCATGGCTCCCGTAACCGTGAGACCCAGGGACCAGAGGGATGTGTGAGGCCAGACCATTTCAGGATCTCCCTCACTGGGATAGCAAGAAATGTCACAGGCGTTGCCAGATGTCCTCCTGCTGGGACACTTGTCTCTCTGAAAACTGATGATAGGGAGGCTTTCAGTGACATGCCTAATGTGTTGGAGCTAGTGGTTACATCTAAGTTTTGCTCAGTTAATTCCCCCCACCCCTTTTTTTTGCCCGTCCTGAGGCTTGAACTCAGGGCCTGGACACTATCCTTAAAGCCCCTTTTGCTCAAGGCTAGCACTCTACCACTTAAGCCACAGTTGCACTTCAGGCCTTTTCTGTTTATGTGGTACTGAGGAATCAAACCCAGGACTTCATGCATGCAAGGCAAGCACTTTACTACTAAGCCACATTTCCAGCCTTCAGTAATTCTCGTTTTTGGGGTTTTTTTTGGGGGGGAGGGTGTCTGGTCATGGGGCCTGAACTCTGGGCCTGGGCGCTGTCCCTAAGCTCTTCAGCTCAAGGCTAGCGCTCTACCACTTGAGCCACAACGCCTAGCAAGTGTGAGGCTTGAACTCAGAGCCCTGAGTTCAAACCCCACTATCACTCACACACACACACACACCAAATCCAATCCAAACAAACAAACAAAAACTTAAGAGTGAAAGTAGTCTATAAAAATTTAGAGGAACTGGGCTGGGAAGGTGGCTTAGTGGTAGAGTGCTTGCCTTGCATGCATGAGGCCCCGGGTTCGATTCCCCAGCATCACATAAGCAAAAAGGAAAAAAGCCAAAGTGGCGCCGTGGCTCAAGTGGTAGAGCGCTAGCCTTGAGCTGAAGAGCTGAGGGACAGCGCCCAGGCCCAGAGTTCAGGCCCCACGACCGGACCCCCCAAAAAAAAAAAAAATTTAGAGGAACTGGACCCTGGTGGCTCACTCATGTAACTGTCATCCTAGCTACTCAGGAGGCTGAGATCTGAGGCTCGAGGTTCAAAGCCAGTCTGGGCAGGAAAGTCCATGCAACTCTTGTCTTCAATTAGCCATCAGAAAGTTGGAAATGAAGCTGTGGGTCAAAGTGGTAGAGCAGCACTAGCTTAAAACGAAAAACCAACCAACCAAAAAAAAGTCAGGACAGCATCCAGGCTGAGGCCAGAGGAAGGATTTTGGTTGATTGCTTTTTTGGTTCTCAGTCTTAGAGTTTTCGGTTCATGGTTGACTGTCTCCAATGCTCTTAGGCCTGTGGCAAGGGAGAAACATGGAGGAAGATAGGATACAAGAAAGCTGCTCTCAATGGAGGGACAAAGGGTGAAAATTAGAGCAATGGTACTCACTGGACGTTGTGTTGAAAATAAAGTATACAACTTGTAGTGAAGGGCGGGAGGGTGAAACTGGGAAAAAGCCAGAGAAGGGGTGACATTGTCCAAAAAGATGTACTGTACCTGGTTTGCGTAACCGCAACCCCTCTGTACCTCACCTTTACAATAACAGTTTTTTAAAAAGCTACTCTCTTCATTGCAACCAGGCAGCAGAGAAAGGAAAAGAGACCAGAGAGGGAAAAGAGATACCTTCAAAGACACATCCCAGTAACCTTCCTCCAACCAAGACCTGGCTGGGGAATGGCCTACTCAGTTTGCATTCATCACTAGATTAAGTTAGCAACCTCATGGTCCCCTCACCACATGTATTGGTTAGCTTTTCTCCTAACTGCAGTAAAGGGAGGAAGGATTTGTTCTGGTTCACTGTTTGGGGAGTGGTATGGAAGGGGGTATGGTGGAACAGAGCAGCTCAAGCCATTGGAAGCCAGAGAACAAAGAAAGGAGTGGCCCTAGGATGTACTCGCCCATTCACAGTGGGTTCTTTGCCTATGGCCATGCTCGCTGAAAAGGCACTCACACGCATGCCCAGAGCAGGTGCTCCTAATCTCCTAGGTTCTTTGTCCACTCACATTGACCATCAAGGTTGGTCATTGCTTCTGAGTCGTACCACTAAGCTGGGACCAGACTTCAACACATAGGTCTTCTTGGAGGATACTTCATATTCAAATAATCTGCCCCTGGTTCTCAGCCTCCTATCAATTCCATAATACAAAATGCAATTAGTTCATCTCCAAGAGTCTCCAAAGTTCCAGCAGTACTCAAAAGTCCAAGTTCACATTCTCCTCTGAAACCCAAAGCAGACTCAGTTTGGAACCCCATAAAAATAAAAACAAAAACAGGTGCTGGTGGCTGAGATCTGAGAATTATGGTTCAAAGCCAAACTGGGAGTAAATGTCCATGAGACTATCTCCAGTTAACTACCAAAAAGCCAGAAGTGGCACTGTGGCTTAAGTGGTAGAGCATTAGCCTTGAGCCAAAAAGCTCAGGGCTAGGCCCTGACTTCAAGTTCCGTATCTGCATGTGTACACCCATACTAGTTTTATTCTTTCCACCTACAGTAGTAGGACAGGTGCACATTCCCATTACAAATACTATACTATGGAGGGATGTGACCAAAACAAGACTTAAACCCAACATGGCAAACATTAAATCCTTTAGCTTCATATCCAGCATCCAGGGTGTGACGTGAACACCAGCGGGCTCAGGCACCTCTGCCCCATGCCTGGCTGGCTGCCCAGCAAGGCTTCTTCCTGGGCTGCTTCTGCTTGTTGCCCGGGGCTTTCCTGACAGATGCGCCACACTCCTAGTATCTCTAACCTCCGGTCTCCATTGTAGCTTCAGCTTCACCCTTTCAGCTTTGTGGATCTCCCTCAGGGGACCTCTGTAAGCATGCTGACCTTACCATCCTTTGCCTACTTCCTCGGTCTTCCTTTAAAATCTTATTCTATGCCTCTCTCTTGACATTCTGCATGTCTGAAAAAATGATCATGCCACAGATGACACCAGATCCTCTGCCAACTCAGGCAGCTGCTGGCCCGCTTGGACTGTAGCGGCGGCAGTTTTCTGGGTGTCTGAATGGCTGAATGTGGAAGAAACACTTCTCTTTGTGGCCCGCTGTTAGAAAGGCACTACATTGGTACAATCTGTCCAGTTCCTGAGATGACCTGAAGTCATCTTTTCCTTTTGTCCTAGTTCTTGCCTTCTTTTTCTTTTGGTGCTAGTAGTGGTTTGGACTTGAACTCAAGACTTTGTGCTCTTACTCAGCTTTTCACTCAACAGCTGCCACTTTTGCTACTCGCACCACATTTCTACTTGGAGCTTTTTGCTGGTTAATTGGAAATGATAGTCTCTCAGATTTATCTGTCCAAGTTGGTTCTGAACCACACTTCTTAGATCTCAGCCTCCTGAGTCACTGGCTCCAGCTTTTGGCTTCTTCTCAGTGTCACTAGTCTGTCTCTTCAGCAACAATACATTTCCTTGTCTCAATTTTTTTTTATTGTGAAAATGCTGTACAGAGGAGTTACAATTACATGGGCAAGATAATGAGTACATTTCTTTTTTTGGCGGGGGGAAGGGAGTCCGGTCGTGGGGCTTGAACTCTGGGCCTGGGCGCTGTCCTCAGCTCTTCAGCTCAAGGCCAGCACTCTACCACTTGAGCCACAGTGCCACTTCCGGCTTTTTTCTTTTTGCTTATGTGGTGCTGAGGAATCGAACCCAGGGCCTCATGCATGCAAGGCAAGCACTCTACCACTGAGCCACCTTCCCAGCCCTGTGAGTACATTTCTTATCAAGCATTGTAGCCTCCTCCTTTGTTTCCCCTTCCCATCCCATCCTCCCCTTCGCCCCCCCCACCTCCTTGTCTCAATTTTAAATGTGCTCCTTTTCTGATCAAACTGCAAGTTTTTCAGATCTTTCTACCTTGCTTTTGCTTCTGAATCTCACTGTAAAGCTGCCTAAAAGCAGTTAGTAATCCTCATGCCACAGCCTGTGTGTTGTGCCACCTTGAAATTTCCCCTGCCACGTTAATTGATTTGTCATCTTTAATTTTAACTTTACACAAAGTCTCAGGGCATGGACAAAACACAGACAAGCTCTTTGCCAGAATGTAACACGAATAGCCTCAAGTCCAATGTCCCCAAAACAGTCTCCATTCCTATCTATTTACTTCATGAGCACAGCCTTTACTGTCCAACTTCCTATCAGCTTTCTGCTTTCCTGAACTCAACACAATCACACTTTAACCTCTGCTTCTAATATTCTCGGGCTTCTCTAGCCTCCATTTCTAAATGTTTCCAGATTCCTCCCACAACCAGTTCCAGCATTTTGTGAACCACCTGGCCAGGTGGTCACTGCACTTCTCTATCAATTTTATGTGTCAAGTTTTTTTGACATTGACAATATAACTCACATTAACAATAGAGGAAGAAGGGTTTATTTTAACTCTGTTCTAGAGGGTTTTAGTCCATATTCTGTTGTGATTTTTGTGGGGTCTTGCCTTTTTACCTGTGCTGTCCTGATTTTTAGTACGTGTATTTACTCCTCCCAAGTAGGATTATGTGATTCTTGTTACCATTTTGCCTGGCTGGTCTTGAACTATGATCCTCTCAGTCTCTCCTGGGTACCAGAATGTTGTTTTTTTTTTTTTTTTTTTGTCAGTTGTAGAGCTTGAACTCAGGGCCTGGGCACTGTCCTTGAGCCTCTTTGTTCTTAAGACTAGTGTTCTACCACTTGAGCCATACCACCACTTCTGGTTTTTGAGTGGTTAATTGGAGATAAGAATCTCACAGGGACTTTTCTGAGTGGGCTAGTTTTGAACCATAATCCTCAGATCTCAGCCTCCTAAGTAGCTAGGATTACAGGCATGAGCCTGTTTTTTAGTATTGCATGAATGCTGTAGAATAGAAGACAAGAAAATACTGACTACGTGCTAACTGGTCTTCTCCGGTTTTGTTTTCCCAGACACCGCTTGCTTGGACTCAGGATGATTTGATGAGTTAAATAGCACTCCCATCAACCATGATGGCTACACAGACGTTGAGTGTAGACAGCTATCAAGATGGGCAGCAAGTGAGAGCTTGAGCTTTATTCTGCACCTAAGTACTGCCAGTCAGTCTGGCACTAACTGTGGACACTATTTGTGTATTCATCGCTCAATTTCTGTGAAGCTGCACATTCCATTTTAAGTATACTCTGCGTTTATTATATGTTTGTCTTCAGAAAGATAAACTATGTAGTTGCTCAGATTACTTCTTTACATGATATCAACCCTGCCTCAATCATGACTTTCTTGGGAATTTGATATTTTTAAGGTCAGTGTTGATTAGTATTGTCATTCTTAAAGACAAGCTGGACAGTTGCCTAGGATGTGTGAGGCCCACATTGTTCTCTGAGGTCAAATTAGTCATTAATAACAAAGCTGTGAAATAAACCTTTCGGTGTGTTTGTATATACAGTCACGTCACCCTCTACAAGGTGCTTGGGCTTATGTTGCTTTTCTAGAGAAAGAGAAAAAATTTTCCATCTCAGGCAGCAGCGTAGGTACCTTCTAGCTCCCTCTAGACTGTTGGGGAGAATACAGTGCCATGTGGTGGAGTGGGGGATGTGCCAGGCCTACAAACTGGGTCTAGACCACACTGTGCGGGCAGTCTGAGCTGCTTCTAGAGAATTAGAAATTTTTGGCAGCAGATTTGATTTTTTTTTTTTTTTTTTTTTTTAGGGGGCTGGGGCCAGGCCTGAGGCCTTGAACTCAGGGCGCTTACCCTGAGCGTCTTTGCTCAATTTTAGCACTCTACCACTTGAGCCACAGTGCCCCTTCTGGCTTTTTCTGTCTATGTGGTGCTGAGGAATCGAATCCAGGGCTTCATGCATGCTAGGCAAGCAATCTACCACTAAGCCACATTCCCAGCCCAGCAAATTTGATTTTTGCATGTGTGTAAATTGAATTCTTTAAGGATTTAAATATACTTAAGGATTTAAATATAGTAGGTGACAGTTTGTTTAAAACAATGTAAACTAATAAAATGCATCTTTAGAGATTTAAGTAAATGAAATAAACATATCTGATCTGAATGTGGAGACCTTTTTTGGGGAGAGGAGGAGGGTGGTACTAGGGCTTGAGCTTAGGGCCTAGGTGTTATCCCTTAGCTTTTTCATTTGGGGACGGCACTCTACACTTGATTCATAGCTCTATTTCTGGCTGTTGGGTGCTTAATTACAGAAGAGTCTCATAGGCTTCTCTTGGGCTGGCCTTGAACCTCCATCCTCATATCTTAGCTTCCTAAGTAGCTAGGATTATAAATGTAAGGTACTGATTCCTGGCATGAGTGCAGTGACCCTTGTTAAGAATTGTGTATATGGGGGCTGGGAAGGTGGCTCAGTGGTAGAGTGCTTGCCTTGCATGCATGAGGCCCTGGGTTCGATTCCTCAGCACCACATAAGCAGGGAAAAAAAGCCGGAAATGGCGCTGTGGCTCAAGTGATAGAGCGCTAGCTTTGAGCTGAAGAGCTGCGGGACAGCGCCCAGGCCTAGAGTTCAGGCCCCACAACCACACACCCCCCCCCAAAAAAAAATTGTGTATATGTCTGAGAGTGGATACAGGCTGGGATCAGACTCAAGGCCTTGCATCTGCTAAGCATGCATTCTACCACTGAGCTACGCCAAAAGCCATGTTACATTGGTTTATAGCTTATGAATTTCTGAGGGGTAGAATAGATAAGGCGAATTTCAACTGTGTCATGGGTAGCTAGCATACTGAGTTTTTGTTTTTGTGAGAAAAGAAGAACCTGGACTATTTGTTTATCCCTCTGGTTAGCTGTAGGAACAGATGACAAGAAGGGGGCTGAGACTGCGTGTGTATAGTCTTCTTCAGGGGCAGATAGTCATGTCAACTCAGAAACCATACACATTTCACAGGGATTGGTCAATTCAATTCTTTAGCAGTTTGAAGATTTGGCCTTTATGGGTCTCTACTTTTTTTTTTTTGCCAGTTCTAGGGCTTGAACTCTGGGCCTGGGTGCTGTCCCTGGGCTTCTTTTGCTCAAGGTGATAGATAGGGTCTACCACTTGAGCCACAGCACCACTTCCAGCTTTTTTTTTTTTTTTTTGAGTAGTTTATTAGAGATGAGTCTCATGGAGTTTCCTGCCCAGGCTGGCTTTGAACCACAGTCCTCAGATCTCAGCCTCCTGAGTAGCTAGGATGACAGTCACTGGTACCTGGCTGGTCTCTACTTTTTTTTTTTTTTTGGTTGGTTGTGGGGCCTGAACTCAGCCTGGGCGCCCCTCCCTCAGCTCTTCAGCTCAAAGGAATGCTCTATCACTTGAGCCACAGCGCCACTTCTGGTTTATTCTGCTTACGTGGTGCTGAAGAATTGAGCCCAGGGCCTCACGCATGCAAGGCAAGCACTCTACCGCTGAGCCATCTCCAGCCCTACTTTTAAATTCATAATTGTTTTAACTTTTTAATGTTTTATTTCCCATCATGTAACTGGCTGTCTGTTTACCAGTCTTCTGATTGCATTTCTGTTTGAGAATAGAATACGCAGTAGAGTTTATTTTGTATTTAGTAACACAAAGTCTCCTCCTCTTTTGCAGATGCAAGTGGTAACAGAGTTAAAAACAGAGCAAGATCCCATTTGCTCTGAACCGGATGCGGAAGGCGTGAGCCCTCCTCCCGTGGAGTCTCAAACCCCAATGGATGCTGACAAGCAGGCCATTTATAGGTAGTGTCCGGGTATGGAGCACGTGGGTTTCCAAGGGACCAGTGAGGACAAACACTGGCCAACGGCAGTGCCAGAACCAGGCAGAGTGGGGAGGGGCCAGTGTGAGGCAGTAACTGCTCTGATGGATATTTTTCCAGATTAAGATGTATTTCTAGTAATTAAAGAAAAAAATACTGTAATATAAATGGATGTTTTAAGCCGTCCGCTGGTAGCCCACACCTATCATCCTAGCTACCAGGAGGCTGAGATCTGAGGATCATGATTCAAAGCCAGCTCAGGTAGGAATGTCCATGAGACTCTTATCTCCAATTAACCACCAGAAAACCAGAAGTGGTGCTGTGGCTCAAGTGGTAGAGCACTCGTCTTGAGCTGAAGAGCTTAGGGACAGCGCCCATGCCCAGAGTTCAAGCCCCATGACCACCACCAACAACAAAAAGTACGTTTTGTACAATTTTGCAAAAAAAATCTTTAAGACAGGCATGATGGCACATACCTAAAATCCCAACACTTGGGGTGGAGGCCAGAAGAGGATCTTGAGTCAAGGCAATTTCTGGATTGACTTAGGCTACAGAGTAATATTTTAAGAATAAAGAAAAAAGATTATCTTGAGACCCACATATTTTTGTTTTGCGGTGCTGTGGTAGAATGTGGGTCTGAGTGTCCAGGCAAATTCTCTCACTGAGCTTCACGCCCAAGCCTAGATGATTTCACAGAAGAATTCTACCAATATATTAAGGGAAAAGAACAGCACTGCTACATCATGTCTTTCATAAAATAGAAGAGGAGAGAAGTCTTCTCAGCTCACTGTAAACTAAGCCAAAGACAGTACACAAACAGCATCCCTCTTGAACTTACTAATCATCAATAACGTACAAAGAAATCAAATCCATCAGCCTATAAAAAGAGTAACACACAGTGACCAAATAGAGTTTTTCCTGTAATGAAAGACTGGTTCAGTATTAAAAAGTTAACTAATGAGGTCCCCAGGGTGTCTTACCCACTGATAGAGGAATGCACTGGAAAAAAATTCAACATTCAATTATAGTTAAAAACAAAACTGTAAGTGAGGCTGGGAATGTGGCTTAGTGGAAGAGTACTTGCCTAGCATGCATGAAGCCTTGGGTTCCATTCCTCAGTACCACATAAACAGAAAAGGTGGCACTGTGGCACAAGTGGTAGAGTGCTAGCCTTGAGCAAAAGAAACTCAGGGACAGTGACAGACCCTGAGTTTGAGCCCCAGAACTGGCAAAAAAAAAAAAAACAAAAAACAAAAACCTGTAAGCAAGCCAGGCACTGATGGCTCAGACCTGTAATCCTAGCTATTCATGAGACTGAGATTTGAAGATCTTGGTTTGAACCCAGCCTGGGCAGCAAAGTCCATGAGACTCGTATCTCCAGTTAAGCACCAGAAAGGACAGAAGTGAAGATATGGCTTAAGTGTTAGAGCACTAGCCTTGAGCAGAAAAACTCAGAGACAGCATCCATGCCCTGCATTCAAGCTCCTGAACTGGCACCAAAAATAAACTAAGCAAAAGGTGACATGGTTGGGGTGGGGGCAGGGGACAACAGGGACATTTTTACCTGAAGAAGGGCTTTTGCAAGAAGCCCTACAGCTTACCTCTTGATAGTAAAAGACTGAATGTTTTCCCCAAGGCAAGAATAAAGCAGACGCCCTTCTCATGGCTCCTTTTCAGTTCTGAAATGGAAGCGCCCCACCATGTAGTATGGTGAGGGAATCTTTAACATCTTCATGCTAAAAGAATAAAAATGCTCATGCGAACAAATACCTGGGTAATGTTGAGCCCTTTCCATTCCTCAGAAGACTTCATGTGGTGGAGCTACCCGTCTGCTGGAACTGAACCCAGTCCCGATCTAGGGCTTAACAGATGCATTCTGTGCAAATAGACAAGCTGATTATAAATTTTATATGGAAGACAAAACTAGCATAGCTAAAATAAGTTTTAAAAAGATTCAAGTTGGAGGAGTCACTCTAAACAATTTTAATAACTTTAAAGTATTAAGACATTTTGGTATTGGTGAAGGACAGATACTTGGATAAGTGACACAAAGAGAATCGAGAAACAAATGTGCATAAATATAAAATAGGACTCCTTTTGTATGTATGTGACAAGGTCTGGCTATGTCGCCTAGACTGAACTCAAACCACGATCTTCCTGCCTCTGCCACCCCAGCACTAGGACTATGCTTGTATGCCACCATGCCCAGCTTTCCTCTGAGCTTAGATTGAGATGTGAAAATAATTCAGGTTACTTTTCCACAACTGGTAATGGAACAGTTTACGCATTTGTACGCAAAATAAATCCTCAGAGTAGTTTTACATCTTATACAAAGCTTTGGTTAAGGTGTATTATAGATCTAATGCAAATTTTAAAACTGTTAACAACTTTGGAAAGTACAAAAGAGTCTTTTGGACTATGTTGGACAAAAAGCCCTTTCTTCAGGCTCTCCTTAAGATCTTTCGCTCATGTGAATGTTCTACCACTTTGAGCCACGGCGCCACTTCTGGTTTTCTGGTGGTTAATTGGAGATGAGAGTCTCAAGGACTTTTCTGCCCAGGGTTGACTTTGAACCGCAATCCTCAGATCTCAGCCTCCTGAAGTAGTTAGGATTACAGGCATGAGCCACCAGTGTCCAGCAAAAAATTCTTTCTTAGGACACTAAAAGCATGATTTATAAAATAAAAATGCGATAATTTGGACCTAATCAAAATTTATAACTTAAGCTTTGCCAAGAGACGCTGTTAAGAAAATGAAAAAGATTCTGGGTGCTGGTGGCTCACGCCTGTAATCCTAGCTACTCGGGAGGCTGAGATCTGAGGATAGCAGTTTGAAGCCAGCCCAGGCAGGAAAGTCCATGAGACTCATATCTACAGTTAACCACCAGAAAAACCAGAAGTGGTTCTGTGGCTCAAAGTGGCAGAACATAAGACTTGAGTGGAAAAAAAAAAAAAGCTCATGGACAGTGCCCAGGCCCTGAGTTCAAGCCTCATGACTAAGAAAGAAAGACAAGACACACTATATGCTGGGGAGGGGTACTTGCAACACATGGTTGGCCATCGAATTATATCTAGAATATATCAGATAAAGAACTTTGAAAACACAACAGAAAGAAAGCAAGCAATTCAGGGGAAAAGCTGGCAAAGGCTCGAACACAGCTGGCAGTGTCACATCACAGGCCACAGAAGAACCACTGCACGCCTGTCAGAATACTGAAGTAAACTATGGCACCGGCACCAATGCTGGACTTGCTGTGCTACTGGAGGAGGGCGTTGCCTGTGGGTTTCTCACTGGTATGATCTGTCCATGTCCTGTACTCCAGGGTGTGAACCTGAGCGAGCACACACATTCACTCAGCATTATGTCTGTGAGTGCTTTATTTCATGGCAAAGTATCTAGCAAAATGTATTACCTTACTTATTTCTAGGAATACAGCTCAGTGGTTAAGTTCACTCACACTGTTTCACACAGCACCACTATTCACCTCCAAGCCTGTGATCCTCCTGAACTGAACCTCGGTACCCATTCCACACTGACGCCCACTCCCTTCCTCCAGCTCCTCGCAGCTACCATTTCCTGCCTTTCTCTACTAAATGTCCAAGTATATACAAGACAGGCCATACTGACCAGCTGTTCAAAGTGTCTCATCTTTCAGTGGCTGACTTATTCTAGCTGGCATAATATCATAGTTTTTTTTGTGTGTGGTGGTTATTTTCAGTATTTATCTATGTTATAAAATACATGAAGCCATGAGCTGGTGGCTCACACTTGTAATCCTAGCTACTAAGGAGGCTGAAATCTCAAGGCTTGCACTTCAATGAAGCCAGCCTGGGCAGGGAAGTCCATGAGACTTTTATCTCCAGTTTCCACCAGAAAACCAGAAGTGATGCTGTGGCTCAAATGGTAGAGCATTACTCTTGAGCAAAAAATCTCAAGGACAGCACTCAGGCTCTGAGTGTGAGTTCAAGCCCCAGGACAGACAGACAGACAGATACACACAAACACACACACGTGTTTTACTTTTAAAAAAATTTTTCATCCTGGTGGGTTTAAACTCAGGGTCTTGAGTTTATAGGCAGTGATTCCATCACTGAGCCATGCCTACAGTCCCTTCTTCCTCCTCCTCCTCTTCCTCCTTTTTCATTGATTGTGGGGCTTGAACTCTAGGCCTAGGCATTGTCCCTGAGCTTTGCTTTTTTTTTTTTTTTTTCCGGTCGGTCGTGGGGGTTGAACTCTGGGCTTAGGCGCTGTCCCTGCACTCTTTAGCTCACGGTGAGCACTCTACCACTTGAACCACAACAACACTTCCAGTTTTCTAGTGGTTTATTGGAGATAAGAGTCTCACAGACTTTCCTGCCCGGGCTGGCTTTGAACCGTGATCCTCAGATCTCAGCCTCCTGAGTAACTAGGATTACAGGCGTGAGCCACCGGGGCCCAGCTATCCCTGAGCTTTTCAACTCAAGGCTAGCACTCTACCACTTGAGCCACAGCACCACTTCAGCCTTTTCTGCTTATGTGGTACTGAGGAATTGAACCCAGGGCCTCATGCATGCGAGGCAAGCACTCTTCCGGTGAGTCACCTTCCCAGCCCCTCTTCTTTTTTAACACTGAATATTATACCGTATGCATCTACCACATTTTGTTTATCCAACTATAGAGGTATGTTTGGGTTGCTTCTATGTTTTGACCTTGGTTAGTGCTACTGCAGACATGGGAATTCAAATACCTGGCTCAGTGCACATCTGCATTTGTAGGAGCCATATTCCCAGTTGTCGTGAATTAGGCACAACCAGAGTATTTCTCAGCTGACAGATAGGTGAGCAGTGGTATATTCATGCAACTGCATATTTATTTTTTTGTTTTATTTATTATTTTTGGTCATGGGGCCTGAACTCTGTGCCTGGGCTCTGTCCCTCAGCTGGTGGGTGCTCTACCACTTGAGCCACAGCACCACTTCTGGCTTTTTCTGCTTATGTGGTGCTGGGGAATTGAACCCAGTGCCTCATGCATGCAAGGCAAGCACTCTACCACTGAGCCACCTTCCCAGCCTCACTGCACATGTAAAAGGGAGGAATCTGGCCCTGTGCAGGAACTCAGGTGAGTTCCAGCTGCACCCAGCAATGTGATTTCACTTGAACCATGTCATGAATGGCACTGCTGTGGCGATGCTGACCTGGTCAGCAGTAGTCAGTACTGAGGGTCTGGATGTGGCACAACCACACCAGAGCAAAAGGAGGGTTTGGGAGTCCTGGTGCTGCTTTGAATCCTTTGTGCAGCAGCGTTTACATAGCCACACATGTGTAAATGCAGATCTGCACACCAGGGACAGTCCGGTTTACAAGTAACAATTTAAAATACAGTGGTTGGAGTTCTTTAAACTTTGGACTCAAATCTCTTTAATCCAGTTAAAAATATTTCATTGGTGGCTCATGCCTGTAACTCTAGCTACTTGGGAGGCTGAGAGTGGGAGGCTCTCGATTCAAGGCCAGCCTGGGCAGGAAAATTTGTAAGACCCCTTCTGAATTCATAGCTGGACACTGTGGCCTGTGCCTGTCACCCTAAGGTACCTGGTAGACTGGTGCCAGAGGGTGGCCGTACCAGGCCAGGCAGGGCAGAAAAGTCCAAAAGATGCATCTCACCAGAAGGCCAGATGAAGAGCAGTCTGCCTGTCTTTCCAGAAACTACAGGAAGCCCAAAATATGCAGATAGCAGTCCAGGCAAATGCCAGCCAGGAAGCAAGGTCCTATCTCCAAAACATGGCCAAGCCCGGTGCTCGTGGCTTACTCTCCACGCACAGCAGAGCTACGTGTCATAGTTCTTCCTAGACCCGCTTATAAACTTACTACAATCAAAGCCCAGTAGGAACCTCCCCACCAAAAGATGCTGCAGTTGATCTCATACAGGAAAATGTGTGAAAATCATTAATTAAAACAAGAAGAGCTCGGTGCCTGTCATCCTAGCTGCTCAGGAGGCTGAAATCTGAGGGTTGCCAGCCCAGGCAAGAAAGTCTGTGGGACTCTTACATCCAATAAACTACTCAGAAAAAGTCAGAAGTGGCACTGTGGCTCAAGGGGTAGAGCACTAACCTTGAGCAAAAAGCTCAGGGCAGCACCCAGGCCCAGACAAGCCCCAGACCAACAAAAAAATAAAAAATGAAAACAACTCCAAACCCTTCAGAAGAGAAACACTTGAATAAAGTCACACCAAGAAATATAAAAATGGTATTTACCTGCCCTGCAGGAAGAGGTGGGACTAGAAGGGGACTGGAAGCTATAAAGTAGCCTGTTTGTCACAGTCCTTCAGTTGGCGTGATTCCAGGCAAGAGTGCACAGAGTGGTCACTATGGTATGGAAGAGGTCACTGAACTGTGGGTGAAGGGAGGCACAGCATTTCAGGCTATTAGGCAAAAGACTCATAAACATTGGAGGAGCTGGTGACATGGGAAGACCACCTGAGAGAGTCTTTGCTTGCAAAATCCCACTTGAAGATCCAAGATTAAAAATGTACAACGAATTGGAAGAAAACAAAATATAGGTTGCCATCACTTGAAGATGCCTTCAGGAGGCTGAGATCTGAGGATCTCGGTTCAAAGCCAGTCTGGGCAGAAAAGCCTGCAAGACTCTTATCTCCAGTTAACCACCCAAATGCAAACTCAAAACAGCAAGAAGACTTGAGTATCAAAACAGACCTTTTACATGGAAAAATAATTTAAAAGGCAAGTAACATAGCCGGGCGCCAGTGGCTCACGCCTGTAATCCTAGCTATTCAGGAGGCTGAGATCTGAGGATCGCAGTTCAAAGCCAGCCCGGGCAGGAAAGTCTTAGAGACTCTTATCTACAATAAACCATTAGAAAACCAGAAGTGGTGCTGGAGCTCAAGTGGTAGAGCTCTCACCTTGAGCTGAAGAGCGCAGGGACAGCGCCCAAGCCCAGAGTTTAAGCCCCCACGACCGACAAAAAAAAAAAAAAAAAAAGGCAAGTAACAGGCTGGAAGCATATGTGTGTAATGCACACACAAAGTATTAATACCCCAAAGCTTTAAAGGACCAGTAAGGAACTGACAAACAGCCTAAAGTGAAAGTTAACCAGTGAAGAGTCAGAACAGAGGCATGGCTCAAGTGGTAGAGCACAAGACCCTGAGTTCAAGACCCGATACCAGCATGAGTTAACTACCAGCTGGGTGCTGGTAGCTCACGCCTGTAATCCTAACTACTCTGAGGATCACAGTTCAAAGCCAATCTGGGCAGGAAAGTCCGTGAGACTCTTAACACTGACCACTAGAAAACTAAGTGGCTCAAAGTAGTAGAGTGCTAGCCTTGAGCAAAAGAGCTCAGGCCCCAAGTTCAAGCTCTATGACCAACAACAACAACAAAAGAGTTTACTTCAATGTTTAATATAAATGGAATCCTGCAACAGTGGGGTTTTTGTCACTGAGCATATTGTCGTCAAGGTTTACAAGCAGGTTTATTATCTCTGTTTAGACTGTGGCCCTAGTCATATTTGCAGTGTTTCTCTGATGCTGTTGCAGGCATCTCTCCTAGAAGATGATGGCCTTTGCATACTGCAGCGCCCTCCATTGTAAATGTGACCAACTGCAGAGGGCTTAGGGAGGGTGCTGGGGAACGGCGGGGCTGTTGGATGGCACACTGGCACACTGCAGGCCACCGTGCTGCCGTCAGTGGCAGGCTCTGAAGCGGCACTGGCCGCTGAACTGGTGCAGTCGGTACAAAAGGAAGTTAAAATGAGTTTTTAAAGCAAGGTCTAGCAGAGCGTCCTACTGGGCGGGGATCCATGGCCAACTGTCTAAGCTGTCCACCCATGCAATCAGTCCAGTTTGTGAGAAGGGTTTGGAGAATGAACTGTGGGAGGGCACAGTGTCCCCTAGAGCAGGCTGGGGCACATACCACAGCACTCACCCTGGTCACTTTTGGGGCTCTCCGGAGGTTTCCACTTGATCCATGTGTTGTTTTTTGTTTTTTTGTTTTTTTGTTTTTTGTTTTTTTTTGCTTATGTGGTGCAGAGGAATTGAACCCAGGGCCTCAGGCATGCAAGGCAAGCGCTCTACCACTGAGCCACCTTCCCAGCCCGATCCATGAGTTTTCTAAGAGATATGTACTGCGTAGTTAAAAAAATACCAGAAAGTTTGATTGGTAGTGTATCCTTGTAACCCTAGCACTGGGGAGGTTGAGGCAGAAAGATCCCAGTTCTAGGCCAGTCTGGGGTATATAGCTGAATACTGTCTCAAAAATCACATCCCTACGCCCAGCCAGGCACTGGTGACTCACGCCTATAATGCTAGCTACACAGGAGGCTGAATCTGAGGAACACAGTTCAAAGCCAGCCTGGGCAGGAAAGTCCTCGTGATAACCACCATAAAAACAGAAGTGGTACCAAAAAAAATCTTTCCCACCCCCAGCCAGGCACTGGTGGCTCCCACCTGTAATCCTAGCTACTCAGGAAGCCTAGATCTGAGGACCAAAGTTCAAAGCCAGTTTGGGCAGGAAAGTCTGTGAGATTATTCAATTAACTGCCAAAAACATCTGGAAGTAGAGTTGTGGCTCAAGTGGTAGAACACTAGCCATGAGCAAAAAAGGCCAGGGACAGTGCCTAGGCCAGGACTAGCACAAAAAGAGAGACAAAGAGTGAGACAGAGAAAGTTGAGTTGTGTTCAACCCAGAAACTACTACTGTGCATGCCTAAGAGAAATGACCATGTATATCCTACACACACTTGTACAGGAATGATGGCATTAACATTGTTCATAATAGCCCAAAGCCAGGCATCTACCAACTGATAGAGAAGGAAATAAGAGCTGCCTTCCTAAGAGTAGTGTTCAGCCATGAGCAGTAAAGGACCAGTGTGGGTTACAACACTAATAAGTCTCAAAAACGTGCTGAGTCTCAGAAACCAAACTCCAGTGATGACGTGTAATTGTTTCAATGACATGAGTAGAATAAACGGAGAAAAGGAAGTAGATTTGTGATGGGATTGGCCCGGGGAAGAGCAGCTGCTAGTGGCTACAGCATTTCTTTGGGGGTGATCAAAATCTAATATTTACTGATAATGGTTGCATGCCTCTAAAATGCGCTTTGCTTCATTGACTTGTGCACTTTAAATGAAGAATTGAGAGTTCAGCAAAGCCGCTATATAAAGTCATACAAACAAGCCAGGGGTAAAGATTCATTCTTATAATTTTAACACTCAGAAGGCTGAGACAGGAGGATCGTGATTTTGGAGGCCTTCCTGGGCTACATAATGAGACAGTCTCTCTCAAAAACATAAATCGTGCACACGTGTATGTGCGAAAGTGCGCACACACTCACATGCCAAAGCATTCTCAGGAAAAAGCACACCTGTTTTTTTTTTCTTATCTCTCCAGGCATCCACTATTCCCACTACTAGCTTTGTTGTTTGAAAAATGTGAACAGTCCACACAAGGCTCAGAGGGAACAACTTCTGCCAGTTTTGATGTGGACATTGAGAACTTCGTCAGGAAACAGGAAAAAGAAGGGAAACCCTTCTTCTGTGAGGATCCGGAAACAGATAACTTAGTAAGTAAAGTCAGTGTTTTATTTTTTAAAACTTTTGAAATCCTTTCACAAAATGTTAAGCTTCTAGTGAAGAAGTTCACTAGAGAATTGTATCATTATAAAACAAGCTCGTTTCAATGTATCAAAAACCCATGGTTTTATCTTCTGGTTTCTGTGCTTTTCTTTGGACAAGTGAGTGAAAGAATCTTCCTCTCTTGAGCCCGGTGTGGTGGCTCAAACCTATAATCCTAGCTACTCAGGAGGCTTGAGATCTAAGGATCACAGTTCAAAGCCAGCCAGGACAGGAAAGACTGTGAGACTCCTATCTCCAATAAACCACTCAGAAAACCAGAAGTAGTGCTGTGTGTGGCTCAAGTGGTAGAGTGCTCACCTTGAGCTGAAGAGCTGAGGGACAGCGCCCAGGCCGAGTTCAAACCCCAAGACCAACAACAAATAAAAAGAATCCTTGCCTCCATGCCAGCTTGTGCGGGTCCTTGTGAAGGTTCCACAGCAGGCCTGTGTACCCACCTTTTGTTCTTGGTAGATCCCTAATCTTGGCATAAGACTTGGTGTCCTCCAAGACTTCTCAAACCTGATGCAGTACTTCCTGTGTAAGCTTACAGGCAGAGGGCCAGTGACTCCCAGGAGAGGGGTGCTGATGACAGCAGAGTTGATGTTATTAGTAGTCGTCGGTTGCTGAGGGGTAGCTTACCTCAAAATTTAGTGACTTCATACCAAGTTATTAAACTTAAGAGAAAATCTTTGTGTGAGCAGAGTTCTTAGAATTTACACTAGAAATACAATCTAGAAGAGCTGGGCTTTTGAAATTAGGAAACACTTATGGGATTGTGTGGCTGTAGGGATGGAGTAGCGCAAAGGAAAGAGAACTGCTTAGCCACAGTGAGTTGGGGCTGGGCTGTGGCCCCATGTCTGTAGGGACAGAGTTAGTTGTAGCATGGCTGCTCTGAGGGTGGCTTTGGGCTCCGTGTTGTATGTAGACCAGATGCCCCTCCGGCCCAGAGTTGATTCAGCAGCTCTGAGACATTGTCCATGTGTGGTTTCAGATGTGGTTCCACCTCCATTGTTAGCATCCAAGGTATCTCCACCCACTAACCAAGACCCGGCACATGTGACAGTGATGATTGCTGTCCTCTGGTCTCAGCTAAACGTCCACTAACTCTTTCTAGATGGTGAAAGCAATCCAGGTCCTGCGCATTCATCTTCTTGAGCTGGAAAAGGTGAATGAACTCTGCAAAGATTTCTGCAGTCGCTACATTGCCTGTCTGAAGACAAAGATGAACAGCGAGACCCTGCTGAGCGGGGAGCCTGGGAGCCCCTACTCCCCTGTGCAGTCCCAGGTACTGTCCCCAGGGCCCGGCCTGCTTCCTGTGGTGTTGCTCCTGAGACCAGCAGCACCTTTACAGGTGCTGGGCTCACTGGATGACTGCCCCGCTGCAGTGATCCGATTCTTTGAACTTGGTCTGGTTCGGAGTGACTAGGGCCAGAGAAAATGTCTTTCTGAGCTTGGTGGGTGGGATGGAGGTGTAGAGGGAAGGGGTGGGTCTTCCGTCTACATTATAGGCCCCACCCACCCTGGCCTTGTCTATGGGGAGTGGAATAGAGTACCATTTGCTTCTTTATCTTAGTAAGTACTGAAGCACACCAACGTTTAAGTGCTGATCACTGCATTTAGCAGTCATTTTGCATCTCTTTTCCATAAGGGACCCTATTTTCTGAAAACTTGTCAGAGCGTCTGCACTGCACCTCAGGCCTTCCCTCTGTTGTGATAGCATTATGCCCTTCCTTTGAGTTTTGGACGGGATTTTTTCCCCCCTGGGACTTTGAGAGCTTCCAGCAGGGGAGCCCAGCTACCTGTCTACCCTGGATAGAAGACGATCCTTCTCTGTCAGGGATAGTTCTCCTCTTAGACCAAGTGCATAGCTTCGGGAGGGAGGCACATGGAGCATGTGCGGGAGGAAGGGGACACCGCCTAGCCAGCAGCTCAGCGGGACCAACCTGGTGATCATGGTGTGATGGGTGCCGCAGCCAGCTTGTCCTCGCATCCATGTGTGCTCTAATGTTTAGCAGGTTCAAAGCGCCATCACAGGCACCCTCAGCCCCCAGGGAATTGTGGTACCAGCCTCTGCCCTGCAGCAGGGAAATGTAACCATGGCAACGGTGGCAGGTATGACTATCATATGTCCATTTTTTCTGTAAGACTTGGCAGTAAAGAAGATCTCTTGTATTCAAATGAGTGTATAAATAGGAATTTTAAAGTTGTTACATTTGTTTGTACTTTCACAGTATTTTGTTCAATTCCAGCTCCTGATATAATTGTACTAGAATCTAGTTCTTTGAATATTTCTTATTATGAACAAATATAATATTTAAATTGTATTTTTCTTACCTAAAGTATTTTGTACAAAAAGTCTTAACATAAGGTGCTGAAAATACATAGCAAAAAATATTTGTGCTTTTCAAATAAGAATTTTGAATTATAATTTTAGCAGCAACTGAAAAAGCTAAGCTGTATCATGAATTATTAGTTTAGCAAAAATTATAGGCCTAATTTTGTGTTATTTTTTAATTTTTATTGTAATTTTTTTTTTTTGTCAGTCGTGGGGCTTGAACTCTGGGCCTGGGCGCTCTCCCTCAGCTCTTCAGCTCAAGGCGAACGCTCTACTGCTTGAGCCACAGCGCCACTTCTGGTTTTCTAGTGGTTTTTTGGAGATAAGAGTCTCACAGACTTTCCTGCCCGGGCTGGCTTTGAATTGTGATCCTCAGATCTCAGCCTCCTGAGTAGCTAGGATTGCACATGTGAGCCACTGGCACCCAGCTATTTTTATTTTATTTTATTAAAAAAAGAGTTTTGTGGGCTGGGAAGGTGGCTCAGTGGTAGAGCGCTTGCCTTGCATGCATGAGGCCCTGGGTTCGATTCCTCAGCACCACATAAGCAAAAAGAAAAAAAAAAAAAAGAGTTTTGTCGCTGTGGGGCCTGAACTCTGGGCCTGGGCGCTGTCCCTCAGCTCTTCAGCTCAAGGCTAGCGTGCTACCACTTGAGCTATAGCACCACTTCCAGCTTTTTTTTTCTGCTTATGTGGTGCTGAGGAATCGAACCCAGAGCCTCATGCATGCAAGGCAAGCGCTCTACCACTGAGCCACCTTCCCAGCCCTAGGCCTAAGTTTAGTATTACTTGGCTAGCCAAAACCATTTCAAGAAGGGGACTGATTGCAGCACTCCTTGGCATATGTAGACTGCTACACATGAAACAAAAGCCTCTGAAGGGAGTGGACCAAGGCATGCTGGGAATGGAGCAGGATCTGCTGGCCATGGTAAAAATGTAACTGAAACCTCATATAACAGCAGAATGGGAAACCTCCCAGGAAAAAGAACACTAGTGACCAGCCCAGTGCTACTGGCTCATGCTACTCAACAGCCTGAGATCTGAGGATCTCAGTTCAAAGCCAGCCTGGGCAGGAAAGCCCGTGAGACTCTTACCTCCAATTAACCACCAGAAAACCTGAAATGGCACTGTGCTTCAAAGTGATAGACCACTAGCCTTGAGCAAATGAGCTCAGGTTCAGCACCCAGGCCCTGAGTTCAATTCCCACAACTGACAAAAACAAAACCAGTGGTTAAAATATAACCAGAATGAAAGTATTTCTTTATCTGGAGCCATTAGCCAGTCTTTAATATGTGGTAATTGAGAGAATAGCAGAGGCAGAGGCAGGCAAAACGAAGGGGCATGAAAGTCCCCTTTGGTTCCATGGGTTAGTGAGGAGGAGAGTGAGCCTTTGGTCATTTGTCACAGAAGGTCAGTTCACAGAGTATTGTTGAAATTCCCTCCTTAAGTAGGACAAGAGCAGTTAAAGTAAGTTGTAAAGTAGCTTAGTTCTTAAACGTCTCTTCTCCCTTTTGAGGTGGCACAGTGTACCAGCCTGTCACCGTGGTCACTCCGCAAGGCCAGGTGGTCACGCAGGCCTTGTCGCCAGGGACAATTAGGATCCAGAACTCCCAGGTGAGTGCCACCTTCTGAGAGGCTCGGGGTTGGGTGGCCATGTGTGTGGCACTGAGGGACAGGCCAGGCGTGGGCACTGAGGGACAGGCCAGGCATGGGCACTGAGGGACAGGCCAGGCATGGGCCGTCCCTCTGCTTGAAGACAGTGGTGTCTCCTGGACAGTCTCCACTCAGGCTGAATCCGTTTGAATTGGTTTGTTTCTTTTCACTTCCTATCTTCCTTGCTGTTGAAAATTTGCAAATTTCAGGAAAGTCTTTTGTTGTTGTTATTGGTGGCATGGTGGTGGTGGTGGTGGTCATGGTCATGGGGCTTCAACACTAGGCCTGGGCTCTGTCCTCCAACTCCTCAGCTCAAGGCTAGTGCTCTACTATTTTGAGCCACAGCGCCACTTCCAGTTTTCTGGTGGTTCAGTGGAGATAAGAGTCCAGCCCAGGCTGGCTTTGAACCTCGATCCTCAGATCTCAGCCTCCTCAGTAGCTAGAATGATAGGCTGAGCCACGATGCCCAGCTCAGGAAAGACTTTTGCAGCCCCCAGAAGCAGCTTGTTAACCAGCTTGTGTTCATGTTCACCTGAGGTTTGAGATTCTGTCTGCTGCAGAGCAGCAGCAAGTTTTACAGCAAGACAAGGCCCAGCCTGAACCCCCAGCAGTAGGCTGGGAGAGCCGTCCCGAGCACTGGGAGCTTTCCTGGCTCTCCGCAGTGTGCCTTTTCTGTGTCTGAGGCACTTAATTTAAAGCAAACACCAATGAGAGACCAAAGGGGCTCCAGCCAGGGGTCTCAGCGCCCCTATTTCAAGTGTCTGGCCTCCATAGCAGGAGAGACAGCTGTGCGAATCAACAGGGACCAGGCAGACAGATGTGTACACTGTGCCCTGTCCTTTCCCCATCCTTTGGGGTGGAGTAAGGACATTGGGCCTGCGAGGCTGCAGGATCCCTTTAAATTCTGGAGCCACAAACACGTTCTGTTTTTTTTGTTTGTTTGGTTGGTTGTTTTTTTTTACTTTGAGCTAGTTTTAAATGAGAAAGACAAGGCGTGGATTCTCGTTGGGGAGCGTTGGTTTGGGTTCTGTCAGGCCTGGCTGGTGTGCAGCATGTGTCTGGGTCCGTCCTTCTGTGGATGGCTGCAGCTGCCCTGGACGCGAGCGCAGAGCTGAGTGCGTCTGTGCTCCACTGCCTCCTGTGGTCTCCCAGGAGCGTAGGGAAGCAGTCAGACCCCAGCAAGGCCACCCCTTCATCCTCCTGAGGGGGAGACACCACACCAGGCCCTTGCTGCAGGAAACAGTCATTGTCCCGGCACTGATGGACCCAGTGGGTTCGTGCTCCAAAAGCTGAGTGACCAGAACCACGAGCTCCTGTCTTTTACACCCCTTTTCCTTTATCTAGCCCGTGTTTACATAGTGTTTCATCGGGTCAAGGACGCAGGCCTGGCTGCCTGTGTGCTGCCTGGCCCGCAGGGCTTAGCCCTGTCCGCGTTTTGCTGTAGCCCAGCCCCTCTCTGGGCCTCACGTCACGCCAGCCCGCCCTCTTCCATTTTAAACGCCAGTGACCACACAGCCGTCTAGTTGCAGAATAATTTCCTAGTGTCACATTAGAGGAAACATTTTCAAGTCAAATATCTTATCAGAATCTTACTTGTCTTGTTTAGGAAGGATGTTTTCTACTTAACTGAATTTTCTTTCTTTCTTTTTTTTTTTGGTTGGTCGTGGGGCTTGAACTCTGGGCCTGGGTGCTGTCCCTCAGCTCTTCAGCTCAAGGCAAGCACTCTACCACTTGAGCTACAGCGCCACTTCCGGTTTTCTGGTGGTTTATTGGAGATAGGAGTCTCATGGTCTCTCCTGCCCTGGCTGGCTTTGAACCGAGATCCTCAGATCTCAGCCTCCTGAGTAGCTAGGATTACAGGCATGAGCCACTAGCGCCCGGCTTTAACTGCATTTTCTTAGAAATGAAGTTTGCTATTTAAATAGAAAAGCTATAAAATGGTACTCCAGTTGGAGCACCTTCGTACCTGGACCTGTGTGGCCTGCGTGATAGATAACCCCAGCTCCCTCAGCTGGACACCAGGGCAGGAGAGTCTGTGAGACTCACCTTCAGTTAGCCACCGAAAAGCCAGAGTTGTACCTCAAGTGGTACAGTGCTAGCCTTGAGTATTAACACTCAGGGAAGCTCCCAGTTCCTGAGTTCAATTCCCAAGACTGGCACAAAAACAACCCATCAGGATAGGTGGTAGTCATGGCCTTGTTCCAACACTGCTCTGTCCCACAGGGCTCCCTGCCTTGTGGCTCAGGCAGGCGGACATCCTGGGCTTGTAGAAGGTGATGGCGGTGCACCCGGCAGCCCCCAGGAGGGCGTGAGTCACCGTTGTATGGGACGCGTTGCCCTCCCCTGCAGGCCTTGCCTGCCTGAGGGCCTTCACCAAGAAGCCTTCGTCCGTGGCCCGCACAAGCCCACTTAGCAATGGCTGTGCAGAGTGCCGTTATGGGGAGGGCCTCTGCCCGCCACTTTCTTGTGCTCCTGTGACTTGGTGCCGATTTTATTCCCCTCTTCTTTTTTTGTTGCTGGTAGGACTTGAACTCTGGGCCTGGGTGCTGTCCCTCAGCTCTTCAGCTCAAGGCGAGTGCTCTACCACTTGAGCCACAGCGCCACTTCCAGTTTTCTGAGTGGTTTATTGGAGATAAGTCTCATGGTCTTCCTGCCCAGGCTGGCTTTGAACCTCGATCCTCAGATCTCAGCCTCCTGAGTAGCTCGGCTGACAGGCGTGAGTCCCCGGTGCCCGGCTTCCCCTCTTCTCACAGGCGCTTTGAATGTTCCTCTCAGGTCCACGTCTGTCACAGCTCAGCTGTCATAGGATGCCGCCACAGGCTGGCAGCAGGTGCTGGCACAGCCCCGCACGTCCCCGCCAAACCGTCCAGCCCTTTTTCTCTGTTTTCCTCTGTCTCTTAACTCATCCTTTAAAATACCTTCTTTTGCCTTTGTCATGGAAGCGGGTATTTCTCTCCTGCCGCCCCCTCCAGCCTCGCCCTCCTGATGCTTGGTTGGTGTTCTGGTATTCGGTCTTAGCAGTGCCAGCACTGTTGCTGCCATGTGGCTGTCTCTGATTCCAGTGCTGTTCCACCTTGAGGCGGTGGGTCGTTTTGTTCTGTATTTGCTGGTACTGGCGGTTGCACTCCAGGCCTCCTGCTGGCCAGAAGCCCTGTCTTCAGCCCTCTTTGACTTTGTTGGTTTTAGGGCTTGCGTGTATGCCTTGGCAGTCTGTGTGGGGATCCTTGAATGCGTCACTCACAGTGAGAGACAGGTGCACACCACCACACCCAACATTTTACTGCTGGAAATGGGTTCTTGAGAAGTTTTGCCTGGGTTGACCTTAAACTATAGGATTGCAGGTGTGAGCCTGATTGATTGATTTTCCCTGTGTGTTTTTCACTGTGTTCCCGTGCTCTCTGGCGCCCAGCGGCCCCGTAGCAATTCTCCTGAGACTGTGTTCCACTGCACGGGTTCTGCTGCCTTCCCTTCTGCTCAGCTGGCCTGTTCTGCCCTGTGTCAGTCCTGGGTGCAGGGCCCTGTCCATTCCCATCACTGCTGCTGACCAGGTGCCTCAGGAAGCACTGGTGTGAGGACCTGAGCTCCCCCTGTCTGCCGACGGCCTGGCTCCAGGGCTCCAAGGCCCTGGGAGTCCATCTGAGACACACTTCTGCGAGCTCTCTGACATAGTGATGCTGTGGTGGGCCAGAGATTCTAGGAGAGAAGCAGACCGCCCTCCCTCTGTTCTCACCCTGCCCCACGCACCTGTCCCCTCTGCCTGTGCACAGCGTGTCCCTGCCAGTGGGCTTGCCGTGGGCTCCTGAGCCGGCACCAGCCCGAGTCCCCTCTCCCAGCCCAGCTCCGACGACGTGCCTCCTGGACGAGCCGCAGTTCCCTGAGCCGAGTCATCCCCACAGTGTGGCCTGTGCCTCTGGTGACTGGCTAAAAATGGGGGCGCCCACAACCCTGGCTTACGGCCAGTTTGCTAGAGCAGCTCCCAGAACTCGGAAGCAGTATGCCAGCTTACCGTGCCAGGTGTCTCAAGCAGCACTGGTGAGGCTGCTGTACCTTGCCAGGTGAAGGAGCTTGGAGCTCCGCCCTCCCAGGTACTCTGCCTCCAGGAAGCTTCTGGGGTCTGGGCCCTGTTCTTGGGTTGGTTATGGGGGCGTCGTGGTATAAGCATGACTGACAAACCTACTGGACACTAGTGATCACCTTAACCGTCAGCCCTTCTAAGCCTTCGGGCTGTAATCCTGCCTTGGTGTTTCCATCCTGGAGCCTCTGGGGGCAGCCAGGACAACTCAACTGTATACAGAAAGATATCACTGCCCAGAGCTGGGCTCACGCCTGTCATCCTAGCTACTCAGGAGGCTGAGATCTGAGGATTGCAGTTCAAAGCCAGCCCGGGCAGGAAAAGCTGTGAAACTCTCATCTCCAATAAACCACCAGAACACTGGAAGTGGCGCCATGGCTCAAATGGTAGAGCGTTAGTTAGCTTCAGAGCTGAGGAACAGCATTCAGACCCAGAGTTCAAGCCCCGTGACTGACCAAAAAGAAAAAAAAAGATATCACTTATCCCTGGAAGAGTCCAAGGACTTTAACAGATATGGGGCTGGAAGTGGGGATGAAGAACAAAGAGACATTGCAATGTTAGATGTGCCTCAGAAGATGAGTACCCGGGCTGGGAAGGTGGCTCAGTGGTAGAGCGCTTGCCTTGCATGCCTGAGGCCCTGGGTTCCATTCCTCAGCACCACATAAGCAGAAAAATCCAGAAGTGGCACTGGGGCTCAAGTGGTAGAGAGCTAGCCTTGAGCTGAAGAGCTGAGGGACAGCGCCCAGGCCCAGAGTTCAGGCCCCACGACCAACAACAACAACAAAAAGATGAGTCCCCATAGGTCTGGCTTGTCCACTTTTACATAAAGCCAGCCGTCACTCCGTGGGGGGGCTCCTCTCTAAAGCCACAGCTGTGTGCACGTGTCATCGCTTCCTCTCTAATGTTATCGGTCAAATGTTCAAGCTCCAGTTACAGCTGAACCAAGATCTCAGCATTCTACACCAAGATGACAGCTCGTCCAAGAACAAGAGGGGCGTCCTGCCAAAGCATGCCACCAACGTGATGCGGTCCTGGCTCTTCCAGCACATTGGGGTAAGGGGGCCAGGCTGCAGCTAGCGTGGCCCAAGGTGCCCTCTGCACGCGTGTCTTGTCCCTGCGTCCAGCAGCCCCAGGTCTATGGGTCTGGGGTTACATTGAGTGTGGGCTGAGCATGGGTCCCTAAAATGGCCTTGAAAAACTTAAGACATAAGGATCTCCTAGTGGAAAGAGAGTTAACTTAGCTCATGCTAATTGTGTGCATGTGTGGGAGAAAATCCTACCCTTCAGGTCGGATGGTGGCGTGGGGTTACTTGAGAAGTGGGCAGAGAAAAGGATGTGTTCGTGCAAAACTTCGGGAAGGAAAGCGGTGTTTCATGCTGTGTTTTCAAGGATGTCATTAAGGTTAGGGAGCGCAGTGTGTACCGAGGAGGGTCTGGGAGCATGAGCTGACTGCCCACATGGGGTCCCCGGGTAAGCAGGGACCCTGGCTCTCCTCGTGCCCCAGACTTCCCCGGAAGCTTGGTGTGGTGGCAGTGGGGACGTGTTGTAGGCAGCCTACTGCCACACGGGGAGCATCGAGAGTCCAGAGTGACCAGGTGTGTCCCGGGGGAAATGCAGTGAGGCCCAGGAGTGGGGAGGTGGGGGTGCGCAACCAGGGTGCACAGGACTGAGGACCACAGCAGGGAAAAGCATTCGGTGGTGACAGGCAGGGAGAAGGGCCGCGCTGTGGTTATGCTGGCCTGTACGCCGGCTGCAGGGCTGTGGTCTCCCCTCATTCTCCTTTCTTTGCAATGACTCGGCCTCATGGTTTTCTGAACGTATCAGGGCAGCTCTGGTTATTGTCTGCTTTTCTATGTATTTGTTTCCTGCCCAGTTGTTGTTGTTGTTTTGTGGGGTGGAAAGGGGCTTGCTGGGGATGGTGCTCAGGCCCCACCTCGTGCTGGGCCAGTGGCTTACCACTGTGCTACATCCCAGCCCGTGGTCTATGAGACGGGTCTGTCTGAGTAGCTGCCCTTCCAGCTTCTGCCTCCCAAGTGCTGGAATCACAGGCTTGCCGCACCACACCCTTGGTATTTTAGGAAGTTTTTGTTTTGTGTACGTGACAGTACTAGGACTTGAACTCAGAGCCTCATGCTCTCATTTGGCTTTTGTGTTCAAGCCTGGTGCTTTGCCACTTATGCTACACCTCCAGGTTTCTTGCTAGTGAATTGGAGATAAGGAGCTCTCAGATTTGTCTCCCTGGACTGACTTAAAACTGTGATCCTCAGATCTCAGCCTCCTGAGTAGCTAGGATTACAGGCGTGAGCCACTGGCGCCTGGCACATTGAGACTTAAAGGGCAAAAATGTATGTGCTTCTACAATGTGGAAATCAGAGCTACGTACTCCTCAGTCCTTTCAAATCACATATCCTGTTGCTAAGTTTTCAGGAACAAACTTGACTGCTGAGTAGATCTGATGCCGTTCCATCCCTCTGGTAATGTGCCGCCACTCAAATTGAGTGTTAAGCCGCATCCAGGGCAATGGGCAGATGCTGCTGTCCTGCTTTGTTGGTCCCATGTACACCCGAGTAAATGTCATCCTGGCACAGTCACCCGGGCTGGGAAAAGGACTTTTTGTGTGCTGGAGGGAGGAATGTCTGGCTATGGGCTATTTATAGTCCTTGGAATCATTCTGCATACCCACAGGACAGGCACATATGCTTCTCCTCAGCTTCCAGTGGCGAGGCTGCGGTGGTGACCATTGTGTATGGCGAGTGATGATGTTCTGAGTATCCAAATGGCCCTCAGCAGAAATATGGTTCCCCACTCCTGCTAGATAGAAGTCATTTTCCTTGGGTGCAGTTAGTTGTCATAGATAAAAGGTAACCTGACACAGGTGGTGGCTTATATATCAAGTCCTCCAGCGGTGCCCACCACAGAGCACGCCCCACAGCCGGCCACCGAGACAGGACCGGAGCCATCCTCATCTTCACTGTGCTCTGCTAAGCATGAAAACTTCTTGAATGTGAGAAGTGCTTCATTAAAAAAACAGATTTGCAGCCAGATCTAAAGTACAACCGGACACGATAACTTATACAGCCTACTGGACTGTCTCACACACAGGCTACAGGACTGTCTCACACACAGGCTACAGGACTGTCTCACACACACACAGGCTACAGGACTGTCTCACACACAGGCTACAGGACTGTCTCACACACACACAGGCTACAGGACTGTCTCACACACACACAGGCTACAGGACTGTCTCACACACACAGGCTACAGGACTGTCTCTCACACACACAGGCTACAGGACTGTCTCACACACACACAGGCTACAGGACTGTCTCACACACACACAGGCTACAGGACTGTCTCTCACACACACAGGCTACAGGACTGTCTCTCACACAGGCTACAGGACTGTCTCACACACACACAGGCTACAGGACTGTCTCACACACACACAGGCTACAGGACTGTCTCACACACAGGCTACAGGACTGTCTCACACACACACAGGCTACAGGACTGTCTCTCACACACACAGGCTACAGGACTGTCTCACACACACACAGGCTACAGGACTGTCTCTCACACACACAGGCTACAGGACTGTCTCACACACACACAGGCTACAGGACTGTCTCACACACACACAGGCTACAGGACTGTCTCTCACACACACAGGCTACAGGACTGTCTCTCACACACACAGGCTACAGGACTGTCTCACACACACACAGGCTACAGGACTGTCTCACACACACACAGGCTACAGGACTGTCTCACACACACACAGGCTACAGGACTGTCTCACACACACACAGGCTACAGGACTGTCTCACACACAGGCTACAGGACTGTCTCACACACACAGGCTACAGGACTGTCTCACACACACACAGGCTACAGGACTGTCTCACACACACACAGGCTACAGGACTGTCTCTCACACACAGGCTACAGGACTGTCTCACACACACACAGGCTACAGGACTGTCTCTCACACAGGCTACAGGACTGTCTCACACACACAGGCTACAGGACTGTCTCTCACACAGGCCACAGGACTGTCTCACACACACACAGGCTACAGGACTGTCTCTCACACAGGCTACAGGACTGTCTCACACACACACAGGCTACAGGACTGTCTCACACACAGGCTACAGGACTGTCTCACACACACAGGCCACAGGACTGTCTCACACACACACAGGCTACAGGACTGTCTCTCACACAGGCTACAGGACTGTCTCTCACACACACAGGCTACAGGACTGTCTCACACACACAGGCTACAGGACTGTCTCACACACACACAGGCTACAGGACTGTCTCACACACACAGGCTACAGGACTGTCTCTCACACAGGCTACAGGACTGTCTCTCACACACACAGGCTACAGGACTGTCTCTCACACACACAGGCTACAGGACTGTCTCACACACACACAGGCTACAGGACTGTCTCTCACACACACAGGCTACAGGACTGTCTCACACACACACAGGCTACAGGACTGTCTCACACACACACAGGCTACGGGACTGTCTCTCACACACACAGGCTACAGGACTGTCTCACACACAGGCTACAGGACTGTCTCACACACACAGGCTACAGGACTGTCTCACACACACACAGGCTACAGGACTGTCTCACACACACACAGGCTACAGGACTGTCTCTCACACAGGCTACAGGACTGTCTCACACACACACAGGCTACAGGACTGTCTCTCACACAGGCTACAGGACTGTCTCTCACACACACAGGCTACAGGACTGTCTCTCACACACACAGGCTACAGGACTGTCTCACACACACACAGGCTACAGGACTGTCTCTCACACACACAGGCTACAGGACTGTCTCACACACACACAGGCTACAGGACTGTCTCACACACACACAGGCTACAGGACTGTCTCTCACACACACAGGCTACAGGACTGTCTCACACACAGGCTACAGGACTGTCTCACACACACACAGGCTACAGGACTGTCTCTCACACACACAGGCTACAGGACTGTCTCACACACACACAGGCTACAGGACTGTCTCTCACACACACAGGCTACAGGACTGTCTCACACACACACAGGCTACAGGACTGTCTCACACACACACAGGCTACAGGACTGTCTCTCACACAGGCTACAGGACTGTCTCTCACACACAGGCTACAGGACTGTCTCACACACACACAGGCTACAGGACTGTCTCTCACACAGGCTACAGGACTGTCTCACACACACAGGCTACAGGACTGTCTCTCACACAGGCCACAGGACTGTCTCACACACACACAGGCTACAGGACTGTCTCTCACACAGGCTACAGGACTGTCTCACACACACACAGGCTACAGGACTGTCTCACACACAGGCTACAGGACTGTCTCACACACACAGGCCACAGGACTGTCTCACACACACACAGGCTACAGGACTGTCTCTCACACAGGCTACAGGACTGTCTCTCACACACACAGGCTACAGGACTGTCTCACACACACAGGCTACAGGACTGTCTCACACACACACAGGCTACAGGACTGTCTCACACACACAGGCTACAGGACTGTCTCTCACACAGGCTACAGGACTGTCTCTCACACACACAGGCTACAGGACTGTCTCTCACACACACAGGCTACAGGACTGTCTCACACACACACAGGCTACAGGACTGTCTCTCACACACACAGGCTACAGGACTGTCTCACACACACACAGGCTACAGGACTGTCTCACACACACACAGGCTACAGGACTGTCTCTCACACACACAGGCTACAGGACTGTCTCACACACAGGCTACAGGACTGTCTCACACACACACAGGCTACAGGACTGTCTCTCACACACACAGGCTACAGGACTGTCTCACACACACACAGGCTACAGGACTGTCTCTCACACACACAGGCTACAGGACTGTCTCACACACACACAGGCTACAGGACTGTCTCTCACACACACAGGCTACAGGACTGTCTCTCACACAGGCCACAGGACTGTCTCACACACACACAGGCTACAGGACTGTCTCTCACA